AGAACGACAAGCAAACAGCAAGACTGACTCAGATGCAAAGTGTGGCAAGCCCGCCTCCTGGAAATCAATATAGGCTTCTTCGGATTTCTTCACAAGTTCTTTGAGGTCGTGTTTGGTGTGGCGGCCCTTGCGCTCTGGGTGGAGAGCGCGCTCTTGCACATGTGTTCGCCGACAGTCACAAAACCTCACATCGGGCCGGCTAAGGCATGATCAGCCAAAGAATGGCGAGTGAAACACGGTGAAACAATGAATGTGAACCTGACGGTATCATAGCATACTTACCTGTTGGGTCCGAGAGAGAGAGAGAGAGAGATATATAGAGAGAGAGTGAGACGGTGCTGAATTCCGCGGCTTTGCAAAGCAAGAAATTGAGAAAGACTCGTGGCTTCCAAGATAGAGCGGAATTGAACCTTGAACTTCAGTGACAACAACACGCACCCTGTGTAAACCAATCGAAACAACATGTGGCATGTCTTGACAAGGAACGTTTCTTCAACCTTGGGATGCTCATTCATAGAGTGTTTCATCTCATGCTGCTTTACACCTGGAAAACCTCCGCGAAGAGTGTAGAAGCACGAGCTGCAAATAATGCTCTTGTCCTTGCACGGGCAGACGTCGGGGCAAGTAGCCGCACAGCTTTCCGGCCAATCCTGATGGAGCGGGCATTTAACGGGCATTTCACAGCTGCCAAAGTCTGATCCAATCCTGAAAGAGCACCAAAATTTTTGCCGTGGTGGAGAAACTAGCCAGTTAAAGATATTTAAAGATATAATATAACAAGCCCACATCCTGGCCTTCTCTGGCGTTCCGAACTCTTGGCCACAAAGAAGGCAACAGCCAGCACGTGGCTCATTTCGCACCATGGCACCAGTCTCAGGACTCAACACCCTCACGGGGAGGCTGCGGAAACCTAAAAACGGCCAGAATGCAAAAGTGAACCCGCCAGGTCTGTAGTGGTGTTGTGGCGCCAGTTTGACAAATGCAAGTTTCATTTGCTTTATATAATGAAAAGCCTCACAAACCTTTGCGGCGGCGCCACTCTTGTGCAAATTGGGGGTCCAGAAATGTTACAGCAGTAAATTATGTTGTTTCTCCCCTTGCTGCCCTTGCTGGTTCAAAACACTTCAAGCGCGTCCGCCTGTCCCGGACACCATGCCCACTTGCCAATCCAGAACAATTTCATACTTGTAGTGAACGCTGCTCCGCGGCCGTCGTAGTACACGCCCATTGCGTGCGTTCCCGAGCCTAAGCAAATCAAACCGACGGGTCCACACACGCCATTGAAAATCACATTGAGGGCTTGAGGAGGGAATTGTAAAAGCTTCCATTGCCCGCTGTCAAAAGGTAATGGTTTTAGTTTTAGTCTTAGATGTAGAATACAGATGTAGTCCGTCATAATCATAGTCGAGTTGTTTCATGGGTGACAACCAACAAAAGTAAGCTCCAGCAAACTGGATAAGTCCCTGGCGACATACGTCGATGAGAGCACGATCCGGGTCCCTGCCTTTTGCCTGAGATGCGCACTCACCACGGCTGTTTGACCTTTCTGTGACTTTTATGTTTTGAAGCCCCGTGTCAAACAGGATTTGCGAACAAAAACTGCTGGCTCACTGACAACTTTGTTGAAAGGCAGCATCCGATCTTGACAGTAAGGAGGGGAGTTACTATTACAGACTACGGCATACGATGCATGCACCCACATGTTTGTTTGCAAGTGCGTCATGGGTCACAAACGCAAAACCGAAAGTTTCAATGTCAAAGGGGTGCGGGGGGGAAGTTTCTACCAGAAAGAGGTTTCCTACGGGTTAGTGCAGCGTTCAACAAACGTTTCAAGGTGTTATGCGATGATACGGGCCCACTTGGTTAAATTGGGGCCCTTCATCAACTGCAACCTGTATCACACTACCACAACTCAAGGACTAAACCATACTAATCTGTAACAAGTACATGTGTAAGGGAAGAACATGGAACGGAAAGAGTTCAATCGCGCTGGATCTCGATCATCGAAGTATTAATCAAACAAAAAGCGGGAGACTGAGCAATGCAGAGTGCGCAACACAGTTTTTTGCATGAGTATATTGTTAGGTCTTATAAGTTATAAGTTATATAGTGTATGACTATATTCTCCAAAATGTTTTTGTATCAACTCGCCTCTATTCTATATTCACGTCTATAACTATACAACTAAAACACGGCTTGTTGTTATATGATATGGATATAGTGTGATCGTTCAACTTCCAACCTTAGATAATTACATAACTATGTTAAGTTATATGTTAATAATGTTTTTCAACTTTGGTGACTCGGGGAACGGTTCAGAACGGTTCTGTAGTAAGGCCGGCCATCTACAAGGAACGGTCCAGAACGGTTCCCCTGGGGAACGGTTCAGAACGGTTCCGAACTATTGTGTTTTTTTTTACGGTGTCACTGTTGGTTCTACAAGGAACGGTTCTGAACGGTTCCGGGCGTCAATGTTTGTTCTACATGGAACGGTTCAGAACGGTTTCGCAGTGACCCTTAAAATTGCATGTTTTTGAAATAACTTGAAATATATTCAACATAAGTTTCCATATCTTTCCTAGTTGCTTGAGATACTTCATGTTTTAGTTTAGTTTGAGTTTGTTTGATCTACACCATACAATACAAATGGTCAAATTGTAATGTACTTTGTAACCTTGAGTACTTCATGCCGATTACACAGTTGAAAGGAAGTCAAGGTTGAGTTGCTGGTTGTGAAATACAAACACCGTATATGGAGGGAATCGATTAGGCAAATAGAATGGACACAGGATGAAATAAGGCGTGACACTACTCCATAGGTACAAGTGGAATCAAGACACGTCACACTGAAAAGAGCATTGCGTAACACATGGTATGATATGGGCCTGTGTGAAAACACGAACACCGAATGACGTAAGTTTGCCCAGCTGCAATGAGCTTGGCAGCTTCAATGTCAAGTTTGTCCCTTTCTCTTGTGTTGAAGAGTCCCGTAAACTCCTCCATTTTCCTGGACACGGGCCCTTTTCCAGGAGTAATCTTCAGATCGTCCATGATTTTGGCAATCTTGTCCGCCGCTGCGTCCTTCTTTCGTGAGTTCTTGTCCTGCAAGGACTAATAAATACGGAAGGGCTTGGCACCCCTTAATGGCAATTTTCCTCTTGGGTTGGCCAGGGGCGGGGCCATGTACCGATTTGGGGACCGCATTTCTTGCATCATGGCCCCGCCCCTGGTCAACCCAAGAGGAAAATTGCAACCCCTTAAGGGCCACATGAACACATGTAAACACGTAACTGTTTTGAAACATCCGGAGCCACTTCCGGAACCGTTCTGAACTTTTCCTACCACTCCAAGTGGGTAACAAATGATGTCAGACCTCATGTTGGACCTGATGTTGCAGCTCATGTTGAAACTCAGGTAAATTTTAGGTAGGTCCACGTGGGTCACAAATGATGTCAGAAGTCATGTTTCAACTGATGTCGCAACCAACGTTCGAACACATGTACAAATCCCAAACATTCCTTGGACTGCTCGGGGAAATCCAAGTCGGAGAGGTTCTCAGTGCAATACTGCCAGCCTTGGGAATGCCATTGAATCAACAAAGGACCAAAAGGGATTTTGAACAACTAGAAATACGAGAAGACATGAGAAGACTGCATGGAGCGCGAATCAACACTGCGAGAAGAAGCCAACACTGTATATATAGCCAAAGGTTGGGAGACAGGTCGGGTCTTTTCTAGGATGTTGCCAGAACGAGTGAGTTTTGCAGCCAGAATTCAATCCAGCAAGGTTGGGCGGGAGTGAACTTCAGGACAAAGGTCGCAAATGAATCGGATCATATCCTGGAAATTCTTTTCCTGGTACACGTCTTTTCGGACTCCGACGATGTAGGCCCTGTTTCTGGCGTTGGGGGAGCCGTAGGACTTTGACCTCAGCTCCGTATTTTGTAGGATGGCGGGACTGGCAGTCATACAGCAGAAACACGCCACATATGATATCACGCACGCCGCGTGATCGTATCACAATAAAATTCATATCCCATTGTAACAAGAAATGTGTTATTTCTACACTGGTTTTGGAGTGGCGCATAAGAGAGCACGTTCTGAATCAAACCGTCTAAGTGCGGGCAAACAGGCAAACCTCACCTATATTCCATTCCATGATCCAAACCAATTGGAGTGCACAAAAACTGTATGGCCGTATGGCTGTATATGCTAGTTTGACTGCCTTCGCAACACCATGGTAAACTCCGAAGAGCTTTAATGTCAGCACCTCCGTTTTATACGGAATGAAGTCTTCCTCATACCTCAATGGCAGAACGCAGCATGACACGACAAACAAACCTCCAAACTTAGGTCTAGAAAGTGCAAGGATCTACTTCAAACTTAGCTTAGCCTCTTGGTAGCTCTTCCTGATCACTTGTGAACTCATGGCCTCTTGGCCTCATGGCGTTGGCTTACAGTGAAAAAGCACCGCATACCGCAATTCCAGGCCGAACGAACACGCAGCATAGTTGCTCTGCAGCAGGTGACGCGACGCCCAAGGTCTCCCCGTCACTGACCCCATGAAGAAAGAAATCGATGGGCGCCTGCGCGTACTGAGACTGCAATCGAACCCAGGCTCCACGCACAGCTTACCTTTAACGAAAGCATCAGCTGACAAGCGCGGCATGCTAAAACATCTAGCAAGCTAAGCTTCAACTCTTGCACTATATATACCATTATATACTTCTAGGCATTTTCCACCTGCCTGCCCCAACTTGTTGGCCCGTACCCGGCAAAGCAGTGAAGGTAGAGTAATCCCATGTGCTTTAGATATCAAATCCCAAACAAGGAACGAGGACTAGGAGCGCGAAGCATCGGAAAAGGTAAGGTGAGATCATGGGGGCCATGAGAGGTTGACTAAGAGAGAGATGCGGAGATGATGCGTTGCTCATCATTTGCTGCGTTCACTCCGCAACAACACTCCCTTAAGGAATGTAGCTGGTGCTTAGTGCTTAGCACCTAGCACCGCAAAGCCGCCTCTACACTAGAAATTGCCTCAAGTACCTGTGGAGGATGATCTTCACCCTTGGTTTTGTGAAGAAAGCCAATTGCTTGCTCCACACTTGCGCCTTGTAGCTTCAAATGTTGAGCCGTACAGGCTGCATGCAGGTATGAATGAAATTTTTGGCGGTGAAAGCTGTAGCCGAAGCGCACTTCACCCCGTTGAATGGACTGCGAGCAGTGGCGGCACCGGGCCAATCTTGCCGCAATCTGGGTTGAAACCTGAACCAAACCCAACTCTGAGTTGCAAAACGTTGCAGGCGGCTTTGTTGAGGGAGCTGGCAGAGTGTCAGAAACAACCGGCTTGCCTCCATCCCGGCCGGATGAACCCTCACTGCGAAGCTCTATGAGGCGTACGTGGCTTTGCAACGCCAACTCAGCTTGCTGCTCCTCCTTTGCTGCATCTGGTGTTAGGAAAGGCTTTTCAGCACATGATGTGTCCGAATCTGACTCTGTCAAAGTGCCACTGCTGCTGCTTGAGCTGCAAGAACCGTCAGAGTCTGAGTCCGATGACTCAAATGAAACAGCACAACTTGAGTTCAAGCCTGCACATGGGGTCCTGAGTGGCTCGTCATTGGCATCCTGCGCTGGGTCCTTGGAGGACACCTTGGAAGCCTTGCCTTGTGGGTGAGAACTTTTTGCTTTCGCGCGCCCTTTCCGCTTTCTAGGTGACTCATGTATCCCAAATGGTAAGCAAACAGTCGTGGACTTCTTGGCCTTGGACCTGACAGACAGAAACTCGAGCCCATCGGTTGTGCTCTCCATACGCACGGAATCCAACTTTTGAAGCCCTCTCACAGAATATGTGTGGACCACAAATGGAATTGTTGGACGGCTTTGTCCCGTGAGACTGTGAAGGCTCACAACTTGTTGAAACATCTGGTGACTTGTAACAAGGGCGGGTTGTCCGGAAAGTGAGTCAAGAATCCTGACTTCATTCGGGCCACTAGCAGCACCTTGCAACAAAACGTGAAGTATAGGTTTCTTCATGGCAAGCGCCAGGAAAAAGTATTTGTCAAAAAGTCCAGCGCCTTGAAGCTGGATGAGACATCCCGGTGTCAGCACTCCTTGGATGATCAGGGATCAGGTGCAACTTTGCTATGCTCAACAGAAACCTAAGACTAAGCAGTCCGCCCAGCGGAGGTGACTATAACCCACCTAACTCACCAGACCAACTTCATCATGCATTATATATTCCTAATTCCTAATTTATTGATCATTCTGTTCTGTATGAATATTCTGAATGAATGGCACGGTTGCGCGCAAACACTACCTCCCAAAGAATCCGGCATGCCTGCTGACAAGCAAACAGCACGAGTACAGCATAGCCAGCACAGTCCGTAGAGACTGCAAAATGTAAAGCACTTTCTGATTCAAAACCAAATTGCCGCTGTTGAGAAGGTCATGCATGTTGCGCACAAATTTTGTTGCAAGGTCCAACCCCGGACTCAACTGGCAAAGTCCGCCATGGTTCTGGTAACATGTCGAGTGGTGGGGTTGCGGCCCTGTTTCCAAACTGCATAGGTTTGAATTGTCATGAATGGCCGCAAAAGAGTCCCATTGTTGCCGGATATCAGTGTCCGTGGAGGTCAAGTCAATGCAATCCAGCTTGACAGCGCCTTCGGCTGAGGCGAGCCCAGAATCAACCTCTGCCCACTCCGGAGCCTCTTTAAACCGAGAGTAAGTAGTGAGCAGGCGCTGCTTTGCAATAGTGGACCGTGCATTTCGGCACAGCTGCTGGGCTGCTGAGCTTTCTGCAGCATTGCTTTCGAACTCCTGCATCATCCGCTTTGCTGGAAAGGGCTCATGGGCTGCGTTTTCTCGAATAGCTTGCTCTGCAGCAGCTTCTGCATCGTATACAGCTTTTTCTGACTTGCCCATTTCAGCCCAAAGGTTGCTGCATTTCTGAATCTCTGCTTTCCACTCTCCAGGCGACAGCTGTTTGCCAGCCATCATCTTGCGCTGGAAAATGTTCCATCCTCAGATAGTGGAGGATTTCAGGAAGGATGGACTGTTGAATTACTTACAATGATACGATATGATATGATATGGTAATGGTAAGATGATGGGCAATATTACCATATGGTCATATGGATGACCATTGACAGAACATGATGCACATGTAAAAAAGACATTTGCAGTTGCAAGAGTAACCTGATATGGGTGCGTGTGCGACACTAGAAAATATGCACATGGACCAGGCACGTGAAAGGTCAAAAGTTGTCTGAAAAAGAAACTTGTCTCCAGCTAGCTTGCGCGGTGCCTGAATGGAGGATCCCTGTGAACAAGCCAGTAGCGCATCCATCTTTGCAACTGACATGGACATTCTTGCTCTCTTTCGCTCCGGTGGCTGGCAAGAATCATTCGCTTCACACTGTTGCGTGTACTGGTTGTGTCCACGCTTGCCAAATCTGTGGATGCGATGCCCCATATTGCGATCGCCGTACTTGCACCACAAGAAATCTCGTAGTTTGCTGTAAGAACGGGTGACGCAACGCCAAACCATTCTCTCTTGGGCCACCTCGTCAGAGGGTTTTGAGCCCCGAAATCTGTGAAGCGTCGCCTGGGCAAACCCGTGCATGCATTCGACCAGGTCGCTGCTAATTGGCGCATACGTTGCAACGTCCCACAAGAACCGCTCAATCTGGACAAAGCTTGAAACGTCCTCGTCACTGCCATGACCACCATCCAGGAAATCCAAGATCATGGTAGAAAATTCGTAATCCACGCAGTGCGGGCACGCTTTCTTTGTGTCCTTGTACTTGGAAATCTCTTCGGGCCAGCGGTCTGTGTCCAATGACAATAGGCGGAAAATTTTCCAAGGAAAGAATAGAGTCGGCAGAACCAGCCGCCTCCAGCACTCAGCCATAGACCCGATGCAAATATTGAAGTACTCGAAAGAAACATCTGGTGCATTAAGTGAAGGAAATTTGTTCAGCAGCTCAGTATAGGAAGATAGCAGATTGGCTCCCATTTCGCCAGAGGCAAAAGCCATGAAGATAGCCACAGACCTGGGCAGGGAGCAAAACCCGTGCTCTAGATGCGTCATTATTTTGGTCAGGTGAACTCGAGAGAAATAGAAAATCCAACTAGACTATACGATTCACAGGGGGCCAAACACTACAAGAAAATTGTAGTTCAAGCAAGCGAGATTCTTCTTCGTGAGTTGAGCACGTTCAGCTTCTGCAGATTGAGGGAGTCTTTGCAACTCCGCAATGGCATGACTCCTTTGAAATAGCCTGTACATGCAATGAATATTTGGTGCTACTGTAGATTCGACGGCAATGGCTTTTGAGCTGATCAGCGGGTCCCTGAACGCAGAGAATGTGAGTTTCTTCCGCTTCCTGTTCAATTCCGAAAATGATAACTCCCTCGCATCGACCAGGTCAAGTAGGAGTGACTCCCATCCTTCCGGGTCTTGCCCCGGTTCTTTCTCACCTGACTGCGGCAGCCCGCTCTGTGACAACCATTCTTCCAGCTGTGTAAAGTACGGGTCATTGTCGTTGACTGTTTTGTCGTCTGACAAATACGCTAATGTCCGTTGCAATATTTGGTGCAGGCCACACCCCTCCTTAAAGAGCGCGGCAAAAATACAAAAAAATGGCAACTCATATATAGCGGCGGCAAATGAATACAATTCATTTGGATGTCATGAACCAGTTCGCCACGACAGAATGTCCAGTCCACAGTCTTTTTATTCTATTTGACTTGCACGGTGAACCGTAGAACTACCCTAAAGCCCTGACAGTTTGAGGGCACATGTATGTGCAGGTTAAGACCTCCTAGACCTAGACTACTAGACCCCAAGCCCTAAACATGTTGCGTTTGCCTTTCAAACGCTTTCGGGAGGAAGTTTGCAATCACGGCCCGTAAAGTGTTCTTTAGGGTTTGCCCTTTCAAAGGCTTTCGGGAGGAAGTTGG